GGCGGCCGGCCGGAAGGTTAAAACACGCACCTACCCAGCTCTGCATCCTGCCGAGGCACTTACCAACCGCCCCAGACCGGCGAACTCCTCTGCACAGCAGTTTCCTCTAACATAAGGGACAGATAAGAAGAGTAAGAAGCCGCGGCCTGTCGCGAGCACTGAGGGGGCACTGAGCGGCGCTCTGAGACCAGCCGGCTTCCAGCGACAGTTAGCGAATACTCAGCTGGACGGCATCGCGTGCACCTTACGTTGTCTTCCTGTAAGCCGTCGCCTCCGATTTAACCCTTTATCCTTACTCTACAGAGAAAGGACTGACGCGATGTCCCCAAAGGCATACAAATGGTTATTGGCAGTGCTAGCATGAAACCTGGTGGTATTTGTTAGTTGTTTTAAACAAATTCATTTGAACGGGTCAAAGGACACAGATTTATCAAGTTGGAACTATTTCAGCAGATTCCTCCTCCTGGATGCACAATACGCTTTTCTTTTAAAATAGTCGCCATTCAGAACACAATTCACGACATTTTTTTGGGAAACAGATATTGATTTTATTTTAAGTAAAGTCTTTAGCATGGAAATTGGATGCAGAGTGTGATTTTCTCTTTGGGCTCTAGTTCAGAGGAAATTGGATTTCCTAGAGCGCCAGCTGCAAGGATGCCACAGGTGCTCCCGGCTCAGCAATCACAGTGGCTAATTGGGACACACTAGGACAAAAAAAAAAATGCCCTAAATCTAAATCGTATTCTATGGCACTTCTATTTTTCCCCTAAGAGCAAGCCCCAAAGTCCTTCTTCACTGGGGGTGCTAAAGGAAGCTTCTCTCTGCCTCTCTGGGCAGGGGATACGGCCCGCAGAGGACAGGGGTGCGATCCCAGGTGAGGAGAACAGTCGTTGCCTAGCAAGGATGGTTGGCACTGGGCCCTTCGCCGCAGTAGCTCCAACTTGGAGTTGTAATCTTAAGAGTAGGATCAGCAAAAGAACAGTTCTGAGAACCCACGGTTCAAACGATGGCACAGGGGCAGCTAAAGTAGAATCTGGACAGTTGAGTCCAGTAACGTTGGTGCTGGAGGTAGAAAGAGCGGTGGGCGCCCAAGAGACCATGGTGGCCAGTTTCTAGGGCTGAGAGCAGGTAGACAGCTCCTTAGCACAGACAACTCTCTACCCTCCATCTGAAGGGGAAAGGAGAGACACCACATAACGTCCCCTCTCCTGCGGACCCTAGAAACTGTAGAACAGGCAGACGTGTTCTACAGACACTAAACCCAAGTCATCAGGAACGAAGCCCTTTGTCCTAACATGTTGCCGGACATGCCAAGTCACGGGTGTCTGTGCCTTGACCCCATCTCTGAGTCTTATATTTTCCCTTAGGAGTAAACTCACTCCTATAATTTTCTGTTTGTTGGACTACACTTTGAAGACCCAGGTCTGGGGTCACCTCCTCTACGAAGACGCCCTTGGCCTCCCGAATCAGAATTATAGTCTATCCGGTACCTCGGAAATCATCTCACCTGGACCTCTGTTGACTGCATGGGAAGTGACCAAGCCCTCATGGGGGCCAGGCGTGTGCTTAGCTCCGGAGTAGAGAAGGAAACAAGGCATGCATTTGTTTGGTTCTGAGGAAGGGTCGTGCAGTCTGGTCTCATAGACTTTAACATACCTTATGTCTGGTCAGTTTCTGAACTCTGAGGACAAGGGCCATGTTTCGTTCATTTTTGTACCTCCAGAGATTACAGGAATTACAGGAATTCCCGGCACAAATTAAGTACTCGGCAGAGTTAAAAATGAGCAACTGATGAAAACCTGATTGTCGTACTTTTTTCCTTGGTGCCCGTGACAGGAAAGGATAGCTGTAAACACAGCCTTTTCTTTGAGTAATTTCTTTATCCTATCCTTTTCTAATGCTAACTTCTCAGTACTCTCATTCAGTTTGGAAAGAGGCTTGGATTAAATACCGAAGTATAAAGGCTACACAGAATTAGTGATTTGTGTTAAATCTGGATTTCTTACCCAAATTCCTTTCTATCCCCTTGGAAACCAGGTACCATCTTGGCCACTTAATCACGCCATCCTCGGGTGGTCACCCACTGTTTCTAATCTTCCCTTTACTGGCCTTTAGAGTGGGAAGAATCATCGCTTCGACTGTGGAGTCTGGGAGGAATTCAGGGCTTTCCCGGTACTGGTGCTCAGCTGGGGCTCACACCTTGAGAGATGTCATTATGTTAACACTGACGTGGGGGCGAAAGTGACGCCGTCCAGCGTCTCCCCGTCATTAACAGTGACTGCGGTCAGGGACAATGTGCATAACAGCCAAGTTTCTGGGTCATTTATGGTCTTATTATGGAAGGGAACTCCTGAATGCCAAGAAAGCTCACCTTTGAGGGACAAGTGTGGAACATTCCACGAGACGGGGAGCTTTCTACTATGAAATGACTGCTAAGGAAGAAAAGCCTTCAAAATGTCGTGGTTTTTTTTTTGGTTTTTTTTGTTTTGTTTTTTTTTTTTTTTTTTTTTGACAGAGATCACAAGCAGGCAGAGAGGCAGGCAGAGAGAGAGGAGGAAGCAGGCTCCCCGCTGAGCAGAGAGCCCGACGCGGGGCTCGATCCCAGGACCCTGAGATCATGACCCGAGCCGAAGGCAGAGGCTTTAACCCACCGAGCCACCCAGGCGCCCCAAAATGTCGTGTTTTAATAAACTAAACAGAACTGTGTCTTCATTCTCCGGGAGAATGTTAGAAAACTTTGTACTGAACAACCTTATATAATTGCTCATTGTTCCCCTGACCAACCTCCAAAAAAACTAATAATAAAATCTGACTTTTTTTTCAAACTTGAAAAAAAGAATTTTTTAAGGCAATGGTATGTGCCTAAATGGGATATGGAAATTCACTTCTATAAAGCATGAAGACCCCCTATTTCTGTCCAATTAAGAAACTTAGCCGTGCAACCTGCAGATTCAATGCAATCCCTCTCAAAATCCCAATATCGTTTTTTGCAGTAATAGCAGGGTCCATCCTAAAATCTATATGCAATCTGAAGGAACTCTCAAATAGCCAAAAAATCTTGAAAAAGAAGAGCAAATCCAAGGTTTCATACTTTGTGATTTCAAAGCTTACTACGAAACAAGTCACCAAATCAGACGCTGGCAAAAAGACAGACACATAGAAACAGAATAGAGTAGAAAGCCCAGAAATAACTCCTCTCATATTCGGCCAAACGACTTGACAAGGGAGAGGGACAGTCTTTTCAACAAATGGTCCTGGAGCGGCTTGTTATCCACATGTGGAAAGGGTGAGGTTGACCTTTAACTTACAGCACATACAAAAATTAACTCTAAAAGGAATACAGGCCTCAACGGAAGAGCTAAAACCACAAAAATCCTTAGAAGAATCCATAGAGCAGGACCTTTATGACGTTGGGTTGTGCAGTGATATCTTAGCAATGGCCCAAGAGCACAGGGGACAGATGTGACATAGGAATGAACACTGAGCACATGAGCAGGTGCTCAGAATCCCTAATCATCAGGGAAATGCAAATGAAAACCACAGTGAGGTACCACTTCACACCCATCACGATAACTACTATTAAAGAAACAAAACCCCTAGAAAACAGAAAATAACAGGTGCTGGTGAGGATGTAGGGAAATGGGGCTCTTGTGCACTGTGGATGGGAATGTAAAATAGTGCAGCCGGTGTGGAAACCAGTAGGATGGTTTCTCGGAAAATTAAAAACAGCACTACCAGGTGACCCAGCAACCCCACTCCTGGCTATCCACCCAGGAGAACTGGGAGTGGGGACTCAGACCCTTGCACACCCATGTTCCAAGCGGCATTATTCACAACGGCCAAAAGACGGAAGCAACCTGCATGCCCAGCTGTAGATGAACAGATGACAGCTCGTGGTGTCCCCAGACCATGGACTGTTACTCAGCCGGAAAAAGGAAGAAGGCTCTGACACTGCTACAGCGTAGATGGACCTCAAGGACGTTGCGCTCCGTGAAATCAGCCAGACACAAAAGGACGAGGACAGAACAATTCCACTGCAATGCAGGGCCTGCCGCGGTCAGATTCTCAGGGATGTGGCGTGCTGGTCGGCAGCAGGGGTGGGGGAGGGGCTGGGGAGCGACGCTCAACGGACACAGAGTTCCAGTTTGGGAGACGAGAGCGTTCTGGGGACGGGTGTGCTAACGGCTGTGCGGCTGGGGAAAGGTATTTAAAGCCACTGGACTGTATACTTAAAAATGGGTGAAATGGGTTGGGAGAGGGGGGGTGGGGTTATGGACATTGGGGAGGGTATGTGCTATGGTGAGTGCTGTGAAGGGTGTAAACCTGGCGATTCATAGACCTGTACCCTTCGGAAAAAAAAATATATGTTTATAAAAAATAAAATTTAAAAAAAAAAGGTGAAATGGTAACTTTTATGTTATGTGTACATTTGTTATAGGTTATTTGTATTATCACAATTTCAAAAAATGTTTAAAAAGTAAACTTAGCCATAACCTAAAGCATTTTAAAAAGCGAGGCTTGCAAGGTCCACAGCGGTGCCCAGGGAGTGTTGTCAAGGGGAGCAACGGAAACCTACAAAGGCCATGGGCAACACAAGTTATGACCTAACGAGATGTGTCTAAGTCCTTTAAGCATAACCTGTCAACAAACAGAACTAATAGTGGAAATGTGGATCTGATTTTAAGGAATCTCACACCAAGGAGTTTCTGCACAATAGCCAAAGGGTGAACAGACCTATTAATGCGGCTACGAAATTATTCTGCAGACAATGCCACAGCCGAATGGTGCAAGACTGCTGGCGTCTATGTTCAGTAATGGATTATAAGGTCTGCCTTTATATTGAGCTTGTTTGTTAAAATTAAGGGACATTGTGGTCTTCATTAAAAAACACCCTGCATTTACAGGCCTATCTTTATGCTTTTTCAAAGTGAGATTTTTCAAGGTAAATACATAAAACATTTGGCTGCATGTAAGGCATAAGTATGACACAGAACTGTTACCTTTATGTGGCTCCTTGGACAGCCATATGTCTGTGGGTCCGACCAGAACCTTTCTTGACCAGATGTTGTTGATAATTTCAGAGACACAAATAGTTGATTGGGTTCGATAACTACATTTTTCCCCCTTGCAGATGTCGTCACTCTAGGGAAGAATAAAAGGCAGAGAGATAAGGTTGACATACATAAAGAAAAATTCTAATAAAAAGGGATCGGGTTCTCAAGGAGGCTTGCTCACTTTCCATGCACTTGAAGCAAGGGGCTGAGATCAGGCCAAGTGTGTAGGTGCGGGGCACGCCATGGGCAGGGACAGTGGACAGAACCACCTGCTGCTCCAACCAGCTAATTCTTGATAAAGGATTCACAACAGAAAAGTCCCTTAGAAAACCACGTTACAGTCTGTGATGTGAAAATGACACAAAACCATAAGCAAACTTTTATAAAATAAAGCATGAGAGTTGTTTTGGGATTATGTCTGTCAAATATGGAGACCGGCTGGATGGCTCAGGGGCCAGTGACAGAAGCGTGTGAGCTGGTTCTGAACGGGCCTGCGGCTCGTGTCACGAGGACACTGCCACGTGTATGCGCTTAGGCTTGTTCTTCTGCCCAAGACCCGCGTACGCCACAGTCCTTCCACAGGAAAGATCTTACGAGAGCACGTTATGTGCTAATTAAAAAAGAAAACAAAATGCAATCTTAAGTAATAAATTTTGTATTTGCTCTAACTATAAAACTACACCCAGGTGGGGTGTTTCTAATGGGCTTCATGCTTAGTCTACGGTCCGTGTTTACAGTCACTCCGAGTAGTGAAGACGCTGCTTGCTGAACTGGCTGAGAATGGTTTTGATGGTGTTCAGGTGAGTGCTTTTAGGAAAATGCATGTTTTTTTCTCACCAAATGAAGAATGTCAAATAGATAATTTAGATAAATCTGATAAATGAATCAACACAAAACAATTAGGGGTTGAAAAATGGGTGAACGCGATAGGACGTTAACGACCAGTCAGTCCACCCGATGTATTGCCAGCACTTTGTTTAAAAGTCACAGTTTGTAAAATATCATTAAGTTCATTTTTATGTCTTGCTCTTCTGGGGATCCCAGAAATTCACCCGCACCCCTTCAGGCAACTCCTGCTCTGTCATTCTGGGGACCCCTCAGGTTCATGGACGGTCACAGGGAGAGAGACCTGGAGAGCACCGTGTCTAGAGACGTCTGAGGACACATTCATCCACAAAGGGTTGGGAAAAGGACGGGTTTTCCCTTAAAATAACAGGCATCTGCGGAATACTTTTGTGGACAAAGTGACAGGTTTTATCCTGCGTGCACTGCATTCTCCATGACACGTTCATCAATCAGGGCAGGAAATTCAATTCTGACTTCTGCCATGGAACTTGGAGGCAGCCTGTGGCTGTCACCCCTCCGTCCTCCCATCTCCGCTGGACAGGGCGGCAGGGTCCTTGCGTGGTTCCCAGGGCGCACATGGTGCCAGACACCTGCCAGGTCCAGAAGAGGGGGAGGCCCTGGGGGTTTGTGATTTCAGCTGAGTCCTGACCAGACGCAGATTAAAAAGTCGCTGGTGAATGGATTATCGGATAAACTCCCTTCAAGGGCATTTAAAGCTTCTTACTGAACAAATATAAATATTCCAATTTAAGACAACTGGTATGTAAAACAAATTTCTTCTTAAAAGGAGAATTTAGAAAATAGAACGGAGTGAGCTTTGTTGAGGAGCAGAGCATTCACTATGTAAGAGCTTCCAGAAGGTTCCGGTAACAAGTGACCTCCCCAGTGACATGATCCTATAGGGCATCACCTTCTCCCAGTTACTCAGGGGCAGGAGGTAGGATTATGTTCCCCCTGTTCCTGCTGCTCAGTCTCCTGTCACGGGCGGTGATTCTGATCATTCACAAGGGAACTCCCAGGATGAGCCCTTAGGTCGAGGGTTTAGCGGACAGCTTAGTTGCAAAACGCAAGTGACACAGCCAGGTGGGGTTCCGCAGACTCCGGCCACACTCTGTCCTCAGCCAGAGCTGTTGTGGCAATCTCCCCTCACCCACTGCCACTCGCACCAGAATCTAGGGGGCTTTCTGGAAGGCATTTGTCAGTATGTGAAATTATACATTTTTCTTTGTTTCAAAGTGTCTTGTGCTGGAAAAAACAACGTACAGATCGCGGGAAACCTTAATCCACGTCCCGCAAGGAAAGCGTCCTGCAAGACTGACCATAAGTGGGGTGCTGAGCCTGATTCACTGCACTGATCTCGGTCGGAATGCCCAGGTGTACCTGTCCTCCCTAGTGTGTGTGTGTGCGTGGGTGTGTGTGCGCGCGGGGGTGTGTGCCTATGTCCCCCACCCCAGTCAAGACACGACGGCCATCCCCCAAGGGTCCCTCGGGCCTCCCTTCAGAACTACACCCACTTCTACCTGCAAGCCGTGTCCGTCCTCTGTCCTGTCTTTGCGTCAAGTCAAGAATGTCCGTAACCTTTCGGGACTGGCCTTTCCCACTGAGCCCCATTCTCGGAACCGTGTCCAGGCTGTTCAGTGTCAGCAGCGTCCACGGTGTGCACCGCCGGCGCAGCCATGCACCTGCCGAAGCCCGCCAGGGGGCTCGTGGCTGGGCTGCGGCGCGGAGCCCAACCACGCCTGCCCCGAGGACAGGGGCTGGTCCTGCAGCGACCGCACGTTCAGTTTTAGGTTTCAAAGGACCGGCCACGCTCCCCGATCGCCGACCGCTCTCCCGCCCACGGTCGCCGCGGGAGGACCAGCCTCCGCCCTCGTCCCATGGCCGCCGCCGCCCCTTTCCTCCCGCCACGCAGAGGGGTGTGCGCTGGGCTCGCGCGGCTTCGGTCGGCCCTTCCCTGGCCGGCGCCCGCTGCCGGCCGCCGCGTGTCTGGGCGAAAGGCCTGCGGTCCGCCCACACCCTTGCGCTCCGTCGGACCGGACTGTTCTCGAGTCGGACGCGGAGGCTCCACCGGCTGTCGTAGATGCTCGTCCTTTGTGGGACCTGCGGCTTCCGGACGCTGCCCCCGGCCTCCCGCTGGCCACCGCGTCGTCCTCACAGGGCGGCGGCAGAGCAGAAGCGTCCGTCCTGACGCGGGCCGGCGGGTCCCACGTTCGTTTCTCACACCGTCGTCCGCTTCTCCTCCGCGGCACGACCCTGCGCGTCCGGGGGCGCTGCCCTCCCGGCATTTCCGTCCCCGAACTGCGGCGCTGGGCCTGGCACGGACACACAGGAGGCGGGCGCAGGAGACAACGGGACCGAGGCTGGCGCCACTCGGAGCCCCGGGAGTCCTAGTCAGAAACCGTGTCCTGCGGGCCGCGGGCTGCCGCCGTGTCGCCGCTCCCGGACGGCCGTCGCGGTCGTCCCGCGGCCGCAGGGCTCACGGGGGCTGCGGAAGGCACGTGGTCCCCGGGGCCCAGGCGGGCGCTGCCGCGGAAAGCTGGTCCGCAACGCCGGTGGTGTCCGCGTGGCCGCAGGCACCGCGGGGACCGAACCTCGGAAGTGACAAACCACCAGAGAAATGACCATCCGCGACGGACACGCGACGGGCTTGGTCACGCGCTCCAGCCGCACATGCAGCTGCGTGGCCCGTGTCCGAGGGGGGCGGGACCCACCGCTTCTCCGCGGTCCGCCGTTCTGCTCCGACCGAGCGTCCCTGCCCGCCTGAGCCCCCGCGGCTCGGAATCGGGGCCCCGCGTCCGCGGTCGCCGGCCGGAAACCAGGGACGCAGCAACCGTTCCTCGCGGCGAGCCCCGCAGACGCAGGGCGTGAAATGGCCTTTGACGCCGTTTCCGTCGTCCCCGCAGAGTTCTCGCGAGAGCAGCCGCGCCTGGCCGGACGCGTGTGAGAACCGCTGGCGGCCCGGACGCGTGTGACAGGGTCGCGCCTTCTAGAGCCGCCGCAGCCGGCCGGGGCTCACGTGCGGGCCGTGGTCCCCACAGCCGCAGCCGCGCCGGCCGCCGCTCGTCGGGCCCCGACCGGGTCGATGCCGCGTCCCCGAAAATTGTCCTCCCGGGACTCTGACCCACCTCCTCCGCGGCTGCTCGCCCGTCCACGCCGTCGTTGAACGGACGGAAACTGGCCGCGCACGGAAGGCCGCGCAGATCCCGAGGTGAGGACTGACGGGCGCCCCATTCGCGCCGCGGACGCGGTGGAGCACGCGGGGACCTCCCGGGCAGTTCCAGGCCGTGGCCGGGACCCGACTGGGAGCTTCCCCGCCCCCCGCGGAGCGTCGTGTACGGGCGGCACCGCGCACGCCCCCTCGCCCGCCGCGCCCCTGAGGGGCCCAGCCCCGGCTGCCCCCGCGGGAGGCCGGTGCAGAGCGGGTGTCGCCGCAGGGCCGCCCGCAGCCAGGCACAGGGGGTAGGGGGAGGCGCGGCCTCCAGAGCGACCCCCAGTCCGGGCAGGGGCGCGGCTTCCGGTGTCTGCGAGCCGGACCCCTTCAGCGTTCTCACAGGTCCGCGGCGAGTGCGTGGCTGGAAGCAGAACTTAGCCGCGCCCTGCTGCGGGGGCCGAGGCTCGGCGGTTCCCGCGTCTGGCATCGACGTCGGCGCTGCCGGGGCACGGCTGCTCGCGTCCCTCCAGTTGGCGACGCCGTAAACAGAAAGCGCTCATTGTCGCCCGCTTCAGGAGTGATTACGTCGCGTTTGCTCTCCTGGGGTTCTGCCGTGACGTTGCGTGCTCGCGTACGGTGGCTTGTTAACGCGGCGGGTGCAGTGTCCTGCTGCGTTCTGTGTCGACCGCGCGTGCGCACGGGCCGTCACGTCCTGACGACGCGATTGTTACAGCGCGGCCGGCGGAGAGAGGACTTGAAACCTGAGTGTATCTTGTCTGGAAAGCAGACATAAATGACCTCCTACGTGAGAGTTTCGTGTTTGCGGTTAAAGAAGACCGGGCCTGTTTGCTTTCCCTCCCGCCTGTTCTGTTTTGCTCTTTTAAACCTTTGTTTCTGGACCACGAGGAATGAGAGCCGTCCCGGCTGACATGGGCAGGGGCCCCGCCACGTGCCATATTATATCCCCGATTGTCTTTATTCTCGTGACATTACAGAGCTACTTTGTATATAATTTGCGTGCTATGTTTTTCTTTCTGACACTTAGAAGATCATGAATAACGACC